GTATCATCCTATCACGGTTTCAATTTAAACACAAAGCAGTTCCTTGGTGAGAATTAAAATTATTTTTATTTTCCGTTGTCCATAATTAAGTAAATTCTCAAAAAGCTGAAATTAATGTAAAACATCATACCACACGTCTTACTTCAATGAGAACAAGGGATGAATGAGCCTAATTTTTTCTTCTTATGTACAACCATGAGAGATTGAACAAAAATTATGTATTCTTATGTTCAACCATGAATGATTAAACAATCTTTTTTCCTTCCTTGTATAACTATATCGGTTATACTTCTTTCTATTCCGGATGGCCACAAAAATTCTCAAAAATTCACAACTATTAGAATTTATTTATTCTAAATGCACGTAGTATTCCTATCTTCTTGTTTTTCATGAAAAACTTGAAATTGTTTTAAAACAGCCCTTAAAATCACATTCTAGCATCTTCTTGCTTCTTGAGAAAAAGTTGAAGTTAAATGTTTCATTAGTAATTGAACTTATACATTCATCACGATTTAATCACTGAATTTTAAAATAATTTCGAGTGATCACTTAAATTTGACACGTTACACTCCATCACTCATTTACTATATTTCATAAGTCATTGAATTTTAAAATATTTTCAAGTGATCGATTAACACATTGCTCTTTTCACTCACTCACAGTATTTCATTAGTTTCTTGAACTTATACATCAGTCATATTTTACTCACCTGGACTTTAAAATGCGTCCGAATGGTGACTGAATTTCATAATATTTTCGAGTAAAGTTGATTTTCTATGAGATTCGTCTTAGATTAAGGAAAGAAAATAAATATCGACTAGATAATAAGACTCTCAATCTAGAATATTGTGTCAAGAAGATATAATTTCTCTAGTCGTCTGAAGCTATGTTCAAGATAAAACAAGAATGTTATATTCAAAATGACATAAATCTTATTTAGATCATAACCTTCTCTACCCGAAGAAAATAAAATAGAGAAATTATTATTTTTATTTTAATTGAGATCATAGACTGAAAACAAGAAAATAAAAATTTCCATCTCAAACAGGCAGTATAATTTTCGATTTAAAGTCAAAAATTTTAATCAACACTAATAAAATATAATTTTAGAGTCATGACAAGGTAATTCAAGAAGAAAAAAGGGCCCATCTTCGTGTATGATATTTTATACTTCTGAATTTTCCATCTTTGAACATTTAGATTTAGTGAATAAAGTTCAATCATCACTATGATGTATTTTAAAGTTGAGTGAGAAAGTTTGGAGGTATACGTTCAGTGACTAATGAAACATAGTGAATAAGTGATGGAGTACAATGTATCAAAGTTCAATGATAACTCAAAAGTACTTTAAAATTTTGTGAGTAAAGTGTGATAGAGGTATAAGTTCAATGGTTAATAAAACATTTAACTAAAAAATTGTGTATTTGTATGTATAGGGAAGGGGCAGAGAACTAGAGAAGGAGAGAGGAAAAGAGAGAGGGGGACGTGTGAGAAAAAGAAGGGGGGGGGGGGGGGGGGAGATGGGCTGGGATGGTGGCAATTTTGAAGCTTGGGAAAGGGTTTGGTCATTTTCCTTCACTCTAGCACGCTACTTAAGAAATTGAAGGAATTAGGAAACAATGGAAAAATAATAATAAAGGAACAATACATAAATAAGGTATTTAAGTATCACCATTTCAAAATTAAGGTTTGAGGTTTTAAATTTCAAAAATCGGGTTTTCAATAAAATTTATTTATAATTTAATTAATTAATTATATATTTTATTAATAAACATATAAATGTCACATATATATGCAATTTGGTCACAATTCAAACAATTTTATAGGTCACAAATTAAAAATTTTAAAGTCACAAATCACAAAATTTATAAGTTACAACTTATTTTATAGTCACAAAATATCAAATTATGGGTCACAAATTACTTTTATTGGTCACAAATTAATAAATTTGTAGGTCATACAGTATTTATTGGTCACAATTTATTCTTCATTAGTCACACACCAACCAATTTATTCGTCACAATCAACAAATCACTTGTGACCACCACCAACACAAAACCA